TTACTCAGACAGATTCACAAGAAACACTGACTATTGGATAAATTGCAGGCCCATTCACTAATCATTACCTTGTTCTCCTAACTGACCGATGGCTTGCCAACCTTGACTCTCAGAATAATACACAGCTACCCCATTAACTATAGACACCAGGCTAACCGCACAGAAGCATAAGGGCTCTCAAAAAAGGGGAAGGTGCATATAGAGAACCCCTGCCCCTAGTTATCCATATCATAGTATTACTGTAATAACTATATTATTATGTATATTACCAGATCAGTTCACAATTGAGGTTCTGTATTTGACAAAGCATGACAAAGTTAGAGACCTTTAAAATTACACCACTTTATAAGCAAACCTGCGTTCCGTTGATGGGCTGAAATACAGTCTTTTAGACCCAAAGAGCAGTCCTTTCTCTTGTGCATGAGGAGAATATCAAGCCCAGGGCTCATCCTCCACCTGGCAAGACTTCCACTTACTATGAGCACCATCAGAAGTTTTTGGGCTTTTTCTCCCCAACCCTCCCTATCTTGTGACTATGACAACACAGAGCAATCTTTTAGTCCAATACTTGCTTCGCTAGATTACCTGCAGTGGTTTTTAACCAGAAAATTTCTCCTGAGAAGAACCCCAGTTTTTCCAAATGCTTACATTTCAGAGTGTAGATGAGCATAAGCTTTTGCATACCTGTTTCCAGACCAGTTTTAACAGAATGGGACTATGAAAAAACAAAAGCCTATAACACAGAGTAATCTTTAAATAAATTATCAGTCTTGGTTAGATTAGGGAAGAGATTTAGTCTCCTCTAATTCTCATTTTCTGCAATTTAGTTCCATTGGTCAAGACCATGCAATGTAATATTCTCCTTACAATACGGCTTTTTAACAAACAATGAATAGTTTACACTTGCCACTGTTTGAACAAGAAGCCCTAGATACAGACCCGTAATATAATTGCAGGTGACTACTATAGATACTGTTGCCACACAACAAACAAATTGGGACTTTACACCCACAATATACTAAATGAGTTGTAGCTACAATAACTGGCAGGTGCTAAAGAGGATAGTTGGGAAGAGATGAGAAGCAGCATTCAATGAGTGAGCAGGAAATAACTTTCCGATTCCTTGAGCAAGCGAAGGTTACAAAGACAGCTTATGGGACTAGAAGAGAGAGTTTATTAAAACCATAAGCACTAAAGATCAGTAACATAAAGCCTCATAAACCCGTATTTTGGGCAAGACAAAGTATTAGCAATACATCATGAAAATTACTATTTTAGCATTGTATCAGTGATCTAGTATCCATGTGAAATTATTTTTAGTGCATTACTGACACCCAAAATTTTATTGTGCTGATGTGATATGCTGAAATCTGAATAGTATGAAATCTTAACATATTTAAACTGGTCGTTTCTTTTTTCCTATCTTTTCTTCCTCATGGGATTTCCAAAAGGTGCTTAGGAAAAAGATATGCAAATTCCATATTGCAGAATGACTTGAACTACATAAATTCAGGTTACATTCCTAAATGTTCATAGCCAAGTCTGAGGAACTACAAGCATAGAAATTTAGGGAAATAAAGAATTAGAAAGAATGTTTACCTGAATCAACTTATCCCTTATTCATAAGGATTGTATTATGAATGCACTATATTCTACTTCCTCAACTTACTTGTATTAAGTTATTCTGTATTAAAATGACTCAGAGACCTTCAACCAGATTTGAAAGATACAGATACGTAGTGTGAGAGCTCTGACTCAGCTGGAATGTGAGATTTCTATTTCATTCTCTTGTTTCCCTCTTCTGCTCCAACCTCATTCGACAGAAGAAAGCACTTTCTGGCATTTTTACTTGATTTTTTTGCCTCTCTTCTTCTCTGCCCTCTATGCATTTTACCCTCCACTTCAAAAATTTTCTTCCCTATTTCTTTTCCATTTCTGTTTCTACCCTGCCATGTTGTTGGTATCCATTTTACTGTCTCATTACAGGAAGACCATGTTCTGTGTTTCCTTACGAGAAGGAAAGATTGACTGTGTTTGAGATACAAATCTTTACATCACACTTGGCAGTAAACATGCTCTAGGTCACCCAGCAGGTTTGGGTTTGAACTGCAAAATGACTCAGTGCAATATTCCAGTAAAGATTCTCCGTAAATTCTAAGGAATATTGTGTTTCAGCCACCTGAGCCTTGTGGTCCTTTCATAATTAAGAGTAAGAAGTTTAATGCAACACAACCGAGTTTAGAATAATGCATTATTTTTCATCTGCCACTACTAAAGGTGAAGTTGCTACAGGAAAGACCTGAAACCTTGGTTCCTGCCTCATTCCCCTGTTCATTATGCAGAAAACTGATATAAAATATGAACTGTATCTGCAAAAGTTACACCTTGATAAGCTAACTATCAGTGAAAGGGGAAAGGGGGGAATCTTGTTCTAACACCTTCTTTTATCGCCAAAAAGTACCTAGTGCGTGATGGGTAAAACACAAAGCTAACGGAGGCAGCACGTACATGTAAGATGAGTCAAAGATAATCAACTGACAGACATGCTTTCCCTTCACTTCTGCCGTAGATGATACAATGAGGTAAAAAAACATCACGGTGGATTTCTGCCTACTATGAAGTCTTACCATCCATAAGCCAATTGTCCCGATTCTGGTGAAACTGGTAAGCCATGGGGCGAGGGGCTTGTTTGTTTTTAAACAGGTTAGTTCCAAGCATTAGTTTAAATATTTACTTTGGATGTTCAATTTTTTTATTACACAAATGAAAATATTTACATTTTCTGGTTGTCCAAAGACCTAAACACTGGAAATCCAGACCACAGTACCTCAATTTGTGCTCAAATATTAAAGCATTCCAAAATGCTTTAGAACTTCGTCATTGCTGGTTTATCTAATTCATTGTGAAGAGCCAGGCTAATGTCTTCAATATTAAAAATATAATGATCTCCTATGACCTCTGTGGGAATGTTGCTATTGATTTCAGTTAATACAGAATACAGGAAGAGGCCTTATAATATCATTTTAAACAAGGGAAAAGTAAAAAGTTACAGAAATATTTCGAACATCAGATTTAGATACAGCTAGCACACATATAAAATTATGGAAATTGCTCCTCTCTGCTTCTTTGCCAGTCACCTCTAGACTGTTGCTTTGTAAGACAAGCTAGCGTGTCAGCTCACTTCACGCTCGGGAGAATCCATTCCAGAAAAGCAGTTCACAGGCATATCACAAAACTTAACTGATGACTACTGACCTCTTTTTTGGCAAAGATAAGAGAAGTATTATGCACGATAGAGCTGTCAGGGCCAATAACATGCCTCTTGGCAGGTCTAAAGAACTCACAGGAGAGACAATTCCACAGTGAGCTGGGCCTACAGTAACTCCTCCAGGGTTAATAGAGTCCACAAATGAACAAATCACAGCTAAGTTTGATCTAGTCTATACACACCCGGTACTGCTCAGTATGCGCCTTCATATTTTTTAAATACTAAAAGGTGTAGTAAATTCTTTTTTTCTTTTTAAGCAAAGATACTTTTAAGGACATCTGGGGTGTATCATATTTCTTTTCCAAATAGGTCACTATTGTAGCCTAGCTTCAGAACTGCTAAGACTTTTTCAAGAAAATGCAAATAATCTCTCACAAACTCCTAGCCACATTATCCTGCCTTTTCCAGCGTTCACTGACTTTCCTTATCTCCAAATTAAGTATTCTATCAGAGCGTATGCTAGAAGAAATCCAGAGTTGCTGTTTTCCCTAAGAAGAAACTGCAGTAACAGTTTAAGAAGATGAACAGAAAGCAGTTAGAGGCCTGACCCTGAAAAAGGCCATGTTTTCTCAATACAGTGTGTCTACAAAAAGGTTTATAATTGCAGGGAAAAATTCATAGTTAAAGAAAAATACCTTTTCAGTCACAATTTGTATCACCCCCAATAACAGGGAAAAGCAGTTATTTTGAGAATTCAGCTTGAGATTCCCCAGTGATATTTTCAAACAAGCAAACCACATCCCACAGTCAGACGAAGTTCAATAAATAGATTACTTCCACATATTTGACAAACTGCTCGATTACAAAAATTGTAATTATGCATTTGTTGCTTTTTTAAAAGACTCTGCATAGTTATCACTTTTAACTTTCTCATGCTTTTGTTCTATAGTTTGAAACCAGCAACTCTCCTTCCTGAAAACAACCTGCAAAGCAAATACAGAAAGCCACTGCATTAGGACTGTTTGCTTTGTACTGTTTGCTGTTCTGCCGCTCCCAACTTTCAACACGGAATGTTAACACTCACACAAAAGTGGTTTCAGAACAAATCACAAAAATGTACGCAGGCACACAGAAACCAGTGCCCACAATTCAAGGAAAGTCTTTCCTCTCAATTCTGCTTCAGCAAAATCATTAAAATAACATTTACTAAAACCACCCTTTTTAATCAGCTGAATTAACAAACTGTTGTGAGTTACAGGAGCAGCATGTTACATCGTTCAATGTGTCCTACATTGCCCGTAATCCAAAGTTCAGAGATGAGATACTTAATCGAGCTATTTTTGTCAAAAATCAAATGAAGGCTTTAAACAAATGTTTCCTCTTTACAGCATAGTTCCTATTTCTTTCGTTTGTAGCGATAGAATCTTTTGTCAGAAATACTACAAATACTTCGATGACGACTTCACTTTTGTAGGTTGAGCAGTATCAGCAGTATCATTTCAATGCTATTATTTACAGAATTATGTGAACTTAAAAAATACATGCTTTTGAATGCATAGGCAGAAATATATTCACAAAAGTAAAAAAAGGGATTTTGTCAAAACATTATAAATGTCTTGAGAAATAATATACCTTAAAGGAATCTAATCCCTTCCACCTATGCATTATTTAAGAGTCAACCACACTTTTTCTGATCCTTCTCTTGTCCACATTAGTTTTGTGAACTGCCAACAGGAAAACAAAAATAAAGTTGATATTTTGAAGTAATTTTAGAAAATGAGATCTCACTTACCCAATTCTTTAGAAACTGGAGAATCAGCTGCCAGAAAAAAAAAATCAGTAAAAAAAGTATTTTCCATTTTCGTTAATCTATGATCCTATGAAATTTTGTAATCCAGGGCACATAGTGAGAGATGGGTATATGGCAATAATGAAATCCTGCTATCAGAGAAAGTTACTCAAGTCTCTGTCCTACCTGCTCATTTGTGAAACCAGGTGACAAAGACAGAACACCAGACTATATTAATGAAGTTTCAGCCTGTTATTTAGTTCCAACTTTCATGCATATGCAGGAGCAATCAGCATTCAGAGGGTAGGTTTAGCTGTAAGCCATTGGTCAGGACATAACAAAATTACTTGGTACAGATAAAACTGCTGGAAGAAAGCAAAATGTAATCCCAAGCTTACTAGAAACGCATGGGGGTCTGCCCTACATTGGCCAGCCAGACCACTGGTCTGAAGCAGCTACTGGCCATGAGACAATGGGCCTGCAGCTGCAACAAGGAGACATGGCGTCTTTCAAAAGCAAATCATCATTTACTGTTTAAGTTAGCTGAAAGAGTAATTCCCTTCAAAAAAGTCATGACGAAATACAGTGCACCAGGTGTGATATATTTGAAAGAAAAGTGAAATGTGAAAGGTTTGATACATCTAATACAGCCAGTCCTAAAAATTAACAGTATGTGTAACACTGTTCAGTCATCATATACTGAAATGATAAATATGATTTCTTGCCAAAACAGTACATTAAAATCTGAGGCTCCTACATATACACACCAACTTCTCCACTTTAAGGAAATTCTAGGCCTTCAATGCTAGAACTTCAAAAATTAAATCTCCGAAAGATGATGTTCAGGTTATGGAGCTAACCTATTTGGCATTCTTTTCTCAATTTTCAACATACCGTCAGTGTTCCTGAGGTTATTATAAATTACATTGTTCAGCAACTTAGTGAACTTAAATGTTGGAAGATCTCTGGTTTCTTGGACAAACAAGAAAAATTAGCATTGATGTATTCAATTTCTGTACAGAGTTATTTTGACACTCCAGGAAAGTACCAACTTTTATGTTCGTTGCTGCACACAGGATGGCAGAGAAATCTGTATTCCAGCAATAAAAACCTCAGGCAACAGGTGCATATAGAGATTAAGAAGAAACCTGAAGATTTAACATTCCCAGCCAAAAGACAGCCCCCAGTTAACACTTGGACACTTATCACCACTCCCCTCTCCCTGACAGTTTCCCCCCTTTCATTGTTTATAGTTCAATACCAGTTCCACAGGAACCAATAAGCTCATTATAAATATGCATATATATATATATATGTATATATCACTGAGGTTTCAGTTATTCTCAGTTAATCATTTCCTGGTTATAGTTGATTTAAACAGCAAAGCCAGTTTTGCCAGAATGAACATGGAAACATCAAGATTCAAACTGCAGGGAGGACAGTAGTGAGCAACAGACTACATATGTGGTAGATCTACACCACACACTCATTGCCTTGCATCTTCACAGTATCTAGAAGTGACTTACACACCACAACAAAAAGAAGTAACAAGAACAAACCGGCGAGGTTTTATTGTAAAAGGCAGTGAAAAATACTGATTGAAGTAAGTTCATATGTTTTTTGTAGTGGTATATTTTTAACCTGAAGCGGAAGCCACGCAGACTCTCACTGTCGATTTCAGAATACTTTTTTTCCAGGGGGAGATGGCAACTGCCAATGACAGTATTTTAGGTCTGTATTTTAGTTTTTACTAGCAAAAGTGACATCTTTGGTTACCTAATAGCATGTTCACTGAGAAGCCTGAAACTCTTCCAAACAAAACAAGGATTCTTTTTGAGGCCCTACTGCATTAGAAAAGAGTAATTTCTGTCTAAGCTGCGTCTCATATGTGCTCCATATTCAAACTTTCTGAACATAAGACTTCTACTGATGCTACTGCTGGAGCAGTATGCCACCTGTATGCAAAGATTTTACGCCGTTCCAACTCTTCCTATCTAATGTTTTCTCAAGATAGCCCCAAGTCAATCCTAATATAGGCTCTAAAAAAGGAAGAAAATGTGTGATTTCTCCTGTGCTGATCAAGCTAAATCAAGAACTCCACTTGTATAGTCTCTTCTCCAGTGTGATGGCTAGTGAACTACCTCAGAAAGGGAGTTCTGATCTTTTATCCTCAAAATGTATAAAAATACGTTATAAATCTATCAGAAGCTCTTGTCAGTTTTATGTTGTCAGCCTACTCTGACTTGTTTGGAAAGCTGCAACGTATTTGTTTAGCAACAGAGTATTTACTCCTTGTTACAGAGCTATTTATACCACTCAGAGCTTACGGAGAAAAGATTAACAATTTATGAGAGCCCAAAGATGACCTTAATGCAGTTTCTCAACAGTTGTTGCAACACTGTAAACATTTATTCATTTGAAATTAAGCATTCATGCTAGATATGCTTTATCAACCCGTCTTAAAAGGCAAACTTGCTGAACACAATACCTATCAGCCCACAGTGTTGCTGTGAATTACTGATGACAAATTGAATTAGAAAAGAAGAGGCACAATGTAACATATCAACAGTAAAGTATGTGAAAAGCAGAACCTCAGAAACTGGTATAAAAATATTTCAGCTAAACATTAAAACACTAGTTTTTACTTCTGATACTACCTATAATCCCTAAGGTTAGGTATTAGGTAACCACTATGTTAATCCATCAGGTTAGGCATTATTGCAACTAAGTCAACACTTCCCTGTTTTCATCTCCAGCAGGCTTTGGTTTTATGCTTTTCTCAAAATTTGCATGACGAGAGATTTCAATGTCTATTTGGTTATGAACTACTTCTGCAGTATCACATTTCTCAGAGTACTAGATTACATGTAGGGGAAAGATACTCCACAGACTTGAATGAAGCAAAATGAGAGAGATTTTACATTGCTTTAATATGGTATCAAGCAGCTCAACAGGTCTGCATAGGTGAAATGGAGCAAGATCTAACAGGTCCTAAAATGTAAGCTTTGGGAATCTAGCGCCCAGTCTTGGAAACCCATCCATAGATAGACAGTTTCTGCAAAGTCAGCAATGGAAGTAAGCAACCACGTTATAAAAAGTTTGAGAGACTGGGTCCTTAAGAGTCAAATTTATTCACCCTGATTTTGACTCCATTAAAAAGATACCATCAGGTTTAGTAAGGATAAGAAAAAAGTTAATCCACTCCTGCAACTCTTACTCATTCAAGTTGTTCTGTTCACAGGGTTACTTAGGTAGTGATGCGTACAGGTGAGCAGGAACAGAGCTAAGAACATGAAATATCTATGGATGATATTTCCAGGGGCAAAAAGAGAATGTCTAATTTACATAACGGATTTTTTCCACTTATACTATTATTCTAATGGGGGTTATTTACACTTTATGTTCAATTTATTTTGCAGTAGCTCTGTCCCTATGTGTTTGGCATGCAACTTCTGCAGGATAGTTTTTAAAAAAAGAAAAAAAAAAAGAGAGAGAGAGAGAAGGTACATATGTTTGGGTGTTTCTGCTTTTTTGTTTGTTTTCCCCCCTCTAAACACATCCAGAGTTCAACTTCTAAATTAAGCTTATACACAACCCTCCTATCCAGTATGTATATTCAGATGAAAATGAAACACTCTCTAAAGTTTGCACCTAGAAGACTTACCATTAACAGCTTTTTCATAATTCTTCCCCAGATTTATTAAATTCCTCAGTCCTGGATTGAACTGTTCCATAACATTCTAGTGAACAGAAAACAAAATTTGTGTTACAACCAAGGCAATTCAACAGCGCACGAAAGCATTTATCTCCATGCCACTTAGATCTAATTTTCTGTACAGCATGTATCTGAAAAATCTGTAGATAGATGAAAAAGAGAAGACTTAGGAGGAAGAAGAGAGCAAAGGATAGAAGGGAGAAGAAACTGAGCATTTAAGATCCAACAGTAAACAACGGGTGAACTATTTCAATAGGGGTAAAATGGAATCTGGATGTCAATAATATAAAAGGGTGTCAAGTATGGGATCAAAGTTTGCACAGATCCTTCTTTTCTGGGAGGTGATAGTGAAATAAGAATGAGGGAAAAACCTTTATCCACTAATTGTTTTATAAAGTCAGACAATAATGTGAACTTTCTGACAATGGTTTAAGACTTAAGTTCTTCACCCCTGCCCTATGCTGAAAAAAAATAATACTGGGAAAAGGAAAAGAAAATAAATCCACCAGATATCTGATTGGGGGATGACCAAGCACTTTATTCATATAAGTTACAGAGAGCATTTAGGGACATCAGTTGGGTGGTTTGGGATGTTTGTTTGGGTTTTTTTGTTTGTTTGTTTTAGGGTTTGTTATTTTTAAGTTTGAAAATGCTGCATTTTATTGTGTGAAGCCATAGGTCTTTCAGAAAGAAAATTAAAATGATGACCTTATTTAAACAGAAGAAGAAAAAAAAAAAAAATCTACTGCAGCTGCTTCAGCCGTTCAATATAATCATTGGCTGAAACAGCCAGAATATGAAATCCAGCAGCTCCAAGCATGACTACTCTCATACCTAGCAAATTCTATAAACTGATGAAGTGGTAGAAATTGTGACTGGCAGTTTCATAGCACAAGAAAATAGCTACACCATTAAACAGAAAGGTTTCAAGTCTTCACAAAAACTATAAAATAAGCTAAGCTATGAAGTATGAATGCAAATTTGAATTTTCCCAATGCTGGGGTGTGAAGAAGAGAAAATTTTGCCCACTCCAGAAACGAAAATCGCCCACAAAGTTGGAGTTGTCTCTACTCATAGGAAAGCACTAGTTTCCCTCTTTCTGGTCAAAGACAGTAACTCTGCTCCCTCTCCCCCAGTCAATATTCCAAAATTACTTTTCTCTTGTTATTAGCACTTGAGGGGGAGCTCAGATGCCGATATAAATGCAGTAGTTATTCACGCCTCGGAACCACGCCCTTAAAGATGTCTCAAACACATGTATCTCAAATAACGGTATTCCAAAATACAGGATGTTGCAATTCACTTTTGAACAATGCTAAGTAAGTTTGAAAGAGAGCCCTCTGAGGTTCACTTATTTGGTGGCTTCTTGGTTTCTTCAGGTAGAATCGCTATTTGAATTAGACACATACAAAGAGGATTTTGTTAAGCAAATATGCTGTCTGTACATAACTACCTCTAAACAAGTATTCTAGAATTTACCTTATGTGCCTGGACATTTAATAGTCAAGTAATCACAATGTTCTAATCCTCTCTTTTGTCTCTTCCACGCAAAATACAATTTCATATAACACCAGCTGCTACGTCTCAGGAACAATTTGGTAATGACTATTTTCTTTTAGAATTAAATTTAATTAAAGCCCTGTATTTCCATAGAGAAGAACCTTTAAAATCTTTGCAGATAGTAGACCTTCTTTTCTCAGAATCTTCCTAGCAAAACTATAGCTGTGACATTACTCTGTAAAATTTTATTGTCATGAAAGAAAGATCACGAGATATCCGAAGACATCATTCTGTTATTCTTACTATTTACTAGATATTGTTCACACAGCAGAACTTTCAAGTTCAAGGAATTCAAAACAGACACTTTCTGTTTACAAGAAATATAAGACTGAAATAGTATCAAGCTTTTGTCTGTTATACTACTAACAGAATGAAAATATTTATATTTAGTACATACACAGAAAGAACAGGAATACCACCACATTTATCTCATTTTCGGGCAAGGTCATTCAGTCAGAACTCTATTATTATTTTTCAAATATAGTTCTATACCTGAACTCCAGTCCATTTTAAAAGCGAAGAAAAGAATTAACTCCAGATTTCACCAATAATACCTTAACAGTCATATTGAGTAAAAGATATTTTAAAAAAAAACCCAAACCAACCATTAGGTTTTGATACTGGTATAGTATACACGGTATCAAAAGCAGACAATACCTAGCCCCACTGCCTTTATTTGTACAAATTAAACACACCTGCAATTGTTTTCTGGTCTGTACCATTAAACTCTTACCCACCCAAACACACTCACTGCAAGCAAACTGCCTGTTGTCCCCAGGCCCTTGATTTGTGTTCACTCACAAACCACATCTAGACATGATTTGGGAAAGTGTGCTTCAGGTTGGGCCAACAATGGCAAAGGCTACTCTAACAACTTAGCAGGATGAATTTTCCAGCTTTAGTGTCTGGGAACATCTCTCTTCCTGCCCCAATTCAATAATTTACTACTGTAATGTTGCTGGTGTGCCTCCCTTGCCCTGCCCATAGCTGAGGCAGTGCAACTGTGAGGCTTTTGTTCCAAGGGGTAAGTTGTCTCTTCCTGTTCCAAACGTTTTGCTATTTCTTCCCACCAATGTACTAAAGATGATGTCTGTTGGCATATATGGAGTCAGTGAATCATAAAAAGGAAAAAAAAAATAAAGGGTGAATTAGAGGATTGTGTTAGGATACAGAGTCCTGTATTCCAAGGATATGGGGGAGAAGAAAAGCAGACATGATGTAGCAATGGTGTGTATGCATGGCAGGTAAGAATCCCAATGCCACCTTGAACTACCACCCTATACTGAAAATCATGTTTTGAAAGCCAGATCCTGTCCCTGCTCTTCACAATAAGAGCTTATAAACTACAACCCTTACTGCCACCTACTCAAAAATTCTAACGGTACATGATAGTTATTGGTCTTGAAATACTGATTTTTGGCATAACTGTCTTCAGGATTCAGGGGTTAAGATTCCAGTTCTTTTGAAATCTGAATTAGAAGATGTCAGAGACCACACTTGTGTCATTAGCTGTTTTCATTTAGGAGGAAGTGAACAAAATTCAGCAGAAATGTCCTCAACATCTCCCCTCTCTGAAGCCAGAGCTGTTTATTTACACGAGCCAACTTGATATGTATCAGGTATTTGCATACAGGAGAAGCAGACCACAGTGTGGAAGCACAACAGGTCCACTGAAACAAAGAATACTTGAGGAAGAGCTCCAGTACATCACATCTGCTCAATGTATATGTAAAACTGCTGCGAAAGATGAAGAAAATTTCTAGCTCAATGCCTTCGGTAGCTGGAAGGCAGACAACTAACAGATCTTTTCTCCATTAGACCAAGCAGTCTCTGCGCTGCCACAGTGGATGACTGTTAGCAGAAGTGTCTGCACCGGTCTCTAGACATGAACGCCCAAGAAGTGGCAAAAGCCTTTGCAACGGAAATTCCCCTTTGGAATTTACTTGGTTTAACACAGGGTATGGTTAGCTGATCCTCACAGCGCTGTGCAAGGCTGATCTACTTTCCTACTGAGGGTTTGTGTTTGATAGAAAGACTTAGCTTCTCCCCCGCCCCCAAGATGATCTAGTGAAATAATTCTCAGGTAATTTTCCTCTCTTCAACAGCAGAAAGGAGCATAACTTGTACTTTTTTTTTTTCCTTTCTACTGAAAACTAGATTCTCAAAGCAAACAAAAAGCTGGCCACGCTTCTAGTAGTTTTTGGCTTTTTTTTCCTCCCCACACAGTTAACCACTGTGCTACCTTTGAAGTACCGTCCAGGAAGAAATCTCCAGAGCACTTTTTGAAAAAGGGAAACTGTCAGTGGCAACTCCCTTTTTGGGATCAGGTATAAATTTGATATTGCCAAGACATTTCAGATCAGTTAAAATGGTAGTAATATTTTGTTCAACTTCAGAAGTTATAGGAGAATTAAACACCACTCAGAAATCAGTTTGTATAGCTATTTATTTTCAGATGATGATTTACAGATTTATAGCTTCCCTTATTTGCAATCTAAAGAAAAGGTCATGAAAACGAGTGGGACTGAACACCAGTGCAAAACTGCAAGTCACACATTAAAGTCAGATCCAAAAAATTCCTAAAAAAGCAGAGACAGAGGAACAAAGAAGAATTTCTGATCAAGAGAACCACTAATTTAAAATTGTCAAGAGTAAGAAAGTATCACAATCTTGTTATTTGCCATGTTGTATGAAGTCATGGGAATAAAACTTTCGTCTGAATCCAAATAAACATGACAATGTAAGAAAAAAAGTTGGGAAAGTATTTCAGAACACATTGTTTGTCTGTACAGTGAGGAACACAAACTAGGCCTCCTAATTGTCAATCTAGCGTCCTATATTCTAGTGACACACTACGTCTCATGAACAGAATAATTAACTAGAACAGAAGAGGAGGCACATGATCAGATCCTACAGCTTTCTATTATTTAGGATGAATGGAAACAAAGGGAAACACTTTCAAATCAGGCAACAGGGTACATCTTTTTACGCAGATAATTTCAGAGCTGGCAAAAACGACCTTCCAAGACAAAAAAAAAAAAAAGTAAGAGAAGCCTATTCTGGTCATTCAAGGCATTAAAACCTGCTATAATCCAGAATGAAAGTCGCTATGTGCCTTTCACCATGTGAAACCAGCCTGGTAGCAAGAAGCTGACTGAAGAGGAACAAGCCTTCCATTTCCACTTGTGTATAGGTATTATAACTTCCACAGGTCCTGACGGTCATATAAACAACGTTAATCTTCAAAACAAATGACAGCTATTGTCAGAGTGCCTTCCTGTAAATGCTCAGCTTTGCTTTTCACTTAAAGACACACCTCGCAGAACAATAGCTCAGCAGGTATGAATACAACTTAACAATGCATAGACTCCCTGTAGTTTCAAGTTTACATCCTGCAGGCACTTTTGCAAGAGTGGATAACAATGTATTTGGGTAGAAATCTGAAATTATAAAACTAGC